TGCTGGAGTTGACTGGGGATAAATGAGGATGAACAAGCTGAAGCCTAATCTAGAGGCACTACACCACTTTTTTTCATATTGGCTTTAGATGAAATTAACTGCCCTCCTTGCATCAAGTACATAATTTCTGCAGATGGTAATACAATACTGATCAAGATTTTTTTCAATTGATTTACCAATTGAAACCATACTAGAAAGCATGAATTTGGTTGTAATTATCTTTGTTTTAGTAACAACCAAGCCATGATATTAATATGTGGTGGCTCAAATTGGTCAGATCACGTACATGTTACTATAAAAGTTGCACTGAATACCGTGTTTTCCCCAAAATAAGACCGGGTCTTATTTTCTTTTGAGTCCCAAAATAAGCACTAGGGCTTATTTTTGGAGGGTGTCTTATTTTCCCCCCCATGTACATAAGGCCCACTTCTTCTGCTTGCTTGCAGTGGGGCAGGAGGTCAAGCGGCACACCAGTGCCACTGCTGCGAGGTGGGGGAGTGGAGCTGCCCCACATGCCCCGCACCGGCTTACCTCAGGGCCCCTGCATCCAGGCCACCCACACCCTGACACCTGCTTCATCTTGCGGTGGTGGCTCCAGCAGCCATGTCCAGCAGGGCCACGCATGACCGCTGGCCCACTTCTACTTGCTCATGGCAGCAACAGACCAGGAGACTGAGCACCATGCTGGTGCCACGGCCATGAGGCAAGCAGTCATGTGGGCTTCTGCTGCACATAATTGCTGGTGCTACCGCTGCGAGATGTTGGGGCGTTGATGGCCTGGCTGCAGGGGCCCTGAAGTAAGTTGGTGTGGGGCACATGGGGCAGCTCCACCTTCCCACAGTACTGTGAGCAACCAAATACAATGAGCGGTTGTGCGGTTGTGCAGGGTCTTAAGTGGGGCTTATTTTGGGGGTAGGGCTTATATTAGGCACACACGTAAAACATGCTAGGGCTTATTTTCAGGATAGCTCTTATTTTCAGGGAAACAGGGGTAGGTATTTTCAACAGTGTCCCTCTGATTATGGAACTGCTTCAATTTATATTAACTGAACTCATCATTGCAGGATTTCAGGCAGACCCCAAATACCCAGCTCTTTATTTTGACTTACAACTCGGATAGGACTTTACTAAGTTTAATGCTACCTGTTAATTTGGATGTTTTTATTTTGTTCTTACATTTTTGTTATTGTGATAACGAAGCAAATTTATACAAATTCAAATGATTAATTAACTAAAACAATAGACTGCTCAATTCTCCAACCCTTTTTAATGTAAATGTTTTAAATAGTTTAAATCGATTCACAATTCAAGAAAAATTGCCTTGAGTTAAATGGAGCCAACTTTATTCTCTAATGTCACATGTCTACATTTTCCCTTGTGATTTTTTGTAATATTTGCTTTGATTATTTTACATATTCCATCACCACTGTTGTCGCTATTCCAAGCAACTGGCACTTCTATTAACATTCTACACAGTAGGTTGCAGAATGAATTACAATTACTCATCGTCTTTTAAAAGGTTTTTACAACTCACAGTATCAAGACATGTCCATAACTCAAAGAGAGAAAAAAGAAACAAAGAACCATAAGAAACTGGAGGGGTATGTTTTCACTCATTGTATAGGAATCAAATATTTAATTCTATTGCTGTGCATTGGAATCAGTTTTCATGCAATAAACAAGTAATACTAATAAAATACATTGTTGCTTTGATTTATAATTTTGATTGCTCTTTTTCAATTGCTACAGAGTATATGATCTCATCAGTGGTGGGATTCAAAATTTTTATTACTGGTTCTGTGGGCGTGGCTTGGTGAGCGTGGCATGGCTTGGTGGGCGTGGCATGGCTTGGTGGGCGTGGCAGGGAAAGGATACTGCCAAATCCCCATTTCTTCCCAATCAGCTGGGACTCAGGAGGCAGAGAATAGATGGGGGCAGGGCCAGTCAGAGGTGGTATTTACCGGTTCTCCGGTTCTGCTACCGATTCTCCAGAACTGGTCAGAACCTGCTGAAACCCACCTCTGGATCTCATGCAATGTGTTTATATATGAAAATGGAATTATTACAATTATACATAATTGATTATATAATTATTATATATATATATTATATAATTGTTATATATACTATATAGAAGGGACCTTGGAGGTCTTCTAGTCCAACCCCTTGCTGAAGCAGGAGACCATGTACCATTCCAGACTAGTGGTTGTCCAGTCTCTTCTTGAAAACCTCCAGTGATGGCACACCCACAACTTCTGAAGGCAAGCTATTCCACTGGTTAATTGTTCACACTGTTAGAACAATGTATTTATTACACAACATATTTGTATTACACAATGTATTTATACAGTACTGTGTATTTATTTACTTATCAATCAATCAAATTTAGTTGCCACCAATTTCATTTTGACTTGTTGTGGCTTACAACAGTTAAAATGCCCATGAAATGCATGACAGTATAAGCAACAAAGCACCCACACCTACAGTAAGAAGTAAAACATTAAAGTATTCACTAACATGTTCGTGGAAAATAATCTAACAAAGAACACAAAACAGTATAATGCCTTACCATTATAGTTAACTAAAATACACCCCTAAATACAGCAACAATTTTATGCAATCAAACAATTTAAACTTGCAAAATAGAAAGAAGTCCACAGGCTCTCTCTTATAGCTTGTCTTTCTTGCTTTTCAGAAGATGCTCACAGTGGGGGTTTACTTAATTCCAAAGGAAGCTGTGGCATAACTTTGATGTTACAGCAGAAAAACATCATGTCCTAGCCTGATCCCCTTTATCTCAAGAAAATGTGGGATTAGTCAGAGTTTCTCCCGTGATTAATACACCAATTGGTTCTAATTGGAACACAGCCTGCTTCCTAGAGCAGACAGACTGACCATTTGTTGAAGTCATGCTTCCATCTCACGTCCAGCTTGCTGTTGAACTGGATAAAAGCATTCTGGCATGAGTGTAGTATTTTAAATGTATTTTTTGTATTTAAAATACAAAATAGTATTTTGTATTTTAATGCTATGGTAGTACCAGACATCCTTTGTTGTGGATGCTTAGTTTGTTGAGGACCTTTTTGGAAATTGAAATTTGGCTGTGCCAAACCTGGAATTATTAAGTTACAATCTATCAGTAGTTGAAGGTCACAAGTTGCTAATATTTGGAAGAAGATGAAGAATCAAACCAATGGATTGCATTCTCTAACACAGTATTTTTCAGCCTTGGCAACTTTAATATGTGCGGACTCCGGTTTGCAGAATTCCCCAGACAGCATGCTTTAAGATGTGTGGACTTCAACTCTGCAACTGGGGAACTATGGGAGTTGAAGTCCACACATCTTAAAATTGGCAAGCTTGGGAAACATTGGTGTAATCCAAATCCCTATTGGAAGCATGCACAATGCTTCACTGATTTATTATTTCCACTAGCTGCCTCTTTTCTCTATGGTGTTCTCTATGGAACTGATCTATGTATTTTTCTTAAACTTGGAATACAATAAAACTGGTCCCATTGTCTTGATAGTCAAGGCAAAGGATAAAGGAAGAACTAAGATATCAGTTGAGCTGCTTCAGACAGTTGTCAAGGTCATTGTATTAGAAATGGCATCTCCATCTGAAGGCAAGGGAAAGCCATAGCTGAGATGAGAATATGATTGTGGATTGAGGATCCGGAGTGAAGAAAGAATAGATCCTATCATATGGTAGTGAATATGGTTATAAACTTCCTTGGTGGATGTAAAAACCAAGCCTAAATGAAACAATCACGAAAGACACCTTGTTGGAGTTTGCATGCAAGGAAATGAAAAACTGAAGGAGAGTCAATCAAGAAAAAATATGAAAATGGAGAGGTGGATGGAAACTTGGAAAAGTATACTTTAATGTGCACTAGAAAATGCATCAGAACTACACCAAAACATATATTTTAGTGTTTTGCTTCCAATTTTAATTTATAGGAAGATAATATTAATAATTAATCATTATATAATTATAATAATTATAATAATTAATAATAATATTACATTTCTGAATTTTGCCATTGCAAAAACCTCCAGTCAGTTCAAGCACCTAAACTAAACAAATACAGGTAGTCCTCGAGTTACGACCACAACTGAGCCCAAAATTTATGTTGTTCAGTGAGACATTTGTTAAGTGAGATTTGCCCCACTTAAGGACCTTTCTTGCCAATTATTATGTGATTCATTGCAGCTGTTAGGTTAGTAACATGGTTATTAAATGAATCTGGCTTCCCCATTGACGTTGCGTTTCAGAAGTTTGCAAGAGTGGATCACATGACCCCTAGGACATGGCAACCGTCATAAATATGAACCAGGTGTCAAGGGTCTGAATTTTGATCCCGTGACCATGGGGATGCTGCAACAGTCATAAGTGTGAAAAATGCACTTTTTTTCTCAGCCTGTTGTAACTTTGAATGGTCACTAAATGAACTCTTGTAAGTCAAGAGCTACCTGTATCAAGTGATGAGCACTCAGTGGCCCCATCAGGGTCAGAGCTTCTGTTTACAAGCTGAAAAGAAAAAAGTCATAAGATAACTGGAGAAATTCCTTTCTGCAGAAGGAGTGGTCTTCTGTTTCATGTTCAGACGACATACCAGTATCAGGACAAAGCACTTAATAGTTGCGTGTGTGGGATGTGTGTGTGGAGGAGCACGGGTGTGTGTGTGTGGGGGGGGGGGGGAATGGTTGTCCCATTAAAACTACTCTGCTCTCGGAATGTCTATCCACGTGAAAGGGAATATTAGTGGGGGTGAAGAGTGATTCTTCATAACTTTCTACAAAAATTACTCGGGGGATCCCAACAGGTGAGAATAAAACAAGTTCTTTCTGTAACGTGGTGGTCGGAGACAGCCTATGAAGACAGGACCTGAGGAGAAGAAGAGGCAGAAGCGAGGCCATAAATCCACCGAAGGCGAGCGAGGCCATAAATCCCGAAGGCGAGCGAAGCGCGGCGAGGGCAAACGGAGAGGCGAGAGCGTGCGCAGCGCGGTCTCTCCAAGCGGCGTAGTCGGGCGCTTTGGGCGCGTCTCGCCTTGAGATCCCTCCACTTGAGCTCAGGCGCCTCCTTATCCTTAGGCAGACGCCGACTCCCGGTCAGAGCCTCACTCGAGCGGAGACGCTCTGGGGCGCAGCTACTCCGGCGCTCCCTCGCTGCACCGGCTGAAGCGGACAACCATGGACCATGGCCTCAAAGAAGGGGACGCTGCCGGGCCGACCGCTGGCGGTGCCGCGCGAGGAAATAATACCGCCGCCGCCGCCGCCACCACTGCCGCCTCCTCCTCCTCCGGCGGCGTGGTCGTGCAAGTGCGCGAGAAGAAGGGACCCTTGCGTGCCGCCATCCCCTACATGCCGTTCCCTGTAGCCGTCCTCTGCTTGTTCCTCAACACCTTCGTACCTGGACTAGGTAAGCCGCCCCTGCCCTTCAAAATTGAGCGCCCGCCAGGCGGCGCTCGCGTGGCTCCACCTGCCGGGGGAAAAAAAAAAACCAAAACAAAACCACTAGGCGGGAACCGGGACGTGCCCAAAAACCAGCGGAATTCCTCTGTAAGCGAGGCGCAATTTAGCCGCCGAGCTGCTGGGCGGGATATTCCGTCTCTTCCTTTACGTTTTAGGCTAGCGGGGAGCTGCCACTTAAGGCAGACGCCTTCGCTGTCACTCTCGGGCGGCTATTTGATTCCGCCGGTTATCGCGGTTACTTGGGAGGTGGGAAAGTAAGTGGGTCTATTATAAGCGTTCACTTGCAAACGAGTCAAGGTAACTGTCAGGCTAGTGAGACCACGTCGCATGGAGAAGAGGAAAGTTCGCACAACCTTTGACGGCTGTAATAACTCTTCTCTATAGTAGATTCACTGAAGGGAGTTGAGTGACGAGCCTGTAGGATTTCTTATAGGGGAAAGAAAAAGTCAGTGCTGGACTGTATACACTATATATATATTCTGTTTTACATATAATGTATACAGTCCAGGACTGTCTTTTTCTTTGGCAGTTGACCAAATATACAAGCCTAAAACCATTTTTAATTGATGTTGGTAGAACTGTATTACATTTGATTATCCAAAGTTCTGGAGCTAAGGACTATAATCATCTTTATCCTCTGTGAATTTCTTTCAACTGCTGTTAAAAATAGTACTCGTTTAAGTTAGTAACTGTTGCTAAGTACTGGGGTTTTGAATTTTGTAAACCCATTTCAGCACTGTTTATCCTGAATTCATTGTGATGTTTTAGAATGGAGTCAGGAGAAGTCTCTTCTCAGAATAATTAATTCAGAACCCCAAATAAAAGCTGAATAATGCCTTTTGCTTGCTCAAGTTCTGGCATTCTTATTAGGACATGAACAACTACAGGTGGGGAAAGAAGTGTAAGCATTTTTTGCTTTAATTGTAAGAATGTATATAGTAACATAATATACGCATTATCTTTTAAAGTTGCTGAGATTGATCTGCAACCACCAGGCAAACATTTTTGCATCACATTATTGGCTATTGAACACCAAGTTCTCTTCAATAGAAGCCTCAATTCTCTACAAAATTTCCATTTAGTAGAAATACAAAACTCTTTCACATGATGAAACAGGTCCATCTCAAGTGGAAAAAGAGTGGTGAAAATGCTCTTGCATGGCCATTAGAATGGGAATATTTAGAGAAAAAAAGTCAACATCCAGAATCAGAAGTCAGTTTTATTAGAGATAAGATTACTGAAAAAAGTTTCATGTCATCACATAGCTCTTCTGATATGAAGATTCAGAGAAGCAAAAAGCCCATCTGCTGTATTTCTCCTTGCTGTATCTGATATGACAACGTGTCAAAAAGATGAGTTATTTTCTTCTTCTAGCTATATTGGCTATTCATGAGCGAAATTTCTCTTTGAATTGCCTTTCCTTTGAGAAATGTTAAGTTTTCCATTATTTAAACTTGTAATGTTAATATAGCTGGGATAGAATGATAGAACTAGAGGTTATTTGCAAAAAAAAAAAAAAAAACCAGAAGAGAAATTGTAATAATGTCTTTTTTATTATGAAGAAATACTTTAATAATTTTATTGTGTATATGATGTACAATAACAATAAAGGCTATACTATAAATGCTGTGGAAAATATTAGCAACTGTGTGTGGTTGGCAAATTTCTTGAGTACAAAATAACTGGGTAATGTGGCCTTGAGCAGCACTGAGTGAGATAAAACTTTACATATGCTGACATTGTTAAAAGAGCAGGCTGTTTAATCCTGCTGTAAGTATCTTAAAAGCCAAAGGATATTGCCATGGAATTGGCTCTAGACTTTTTTTGCATGGTGTGATATTACACCAGCACATTGTTGATAATAATTCATGTGAATAGTTGTTATATTTTAATTAAGTTTTAATTTTATGAAATGCCAATCAGCATAAATGAGTTTCCTAAATTTTATGTTCCTTCTTGATAAGGTGCTGGTGCAATCTAAGACTACCTTCATATATCTCCATCAGGGGCGAGTTCCAAATCCTGTTGCTACCGGTTCGCGTATGCGCTTGCGTGCGTGCCTGGTGCTTCTGTGCATGCACAGAAGCGTCCGGGCGGGTGGGCGGAACCTCCCACCGCCGCCGCTACCAGTTTGCTCGATCTGGTGCAAATCGGTAGCAACCCACTGATCTCCATGATGTATGGCATATATTCCAAAAGAAATACTGTGAAGAATATTTTGTAGTGTTTCCTCTGTAGTTGCATTTCAGACTCTTTTCCATAAATGAGAACTACCTTGTCTTACCTGCTGGGACTTCCCCTTTTCCCTTGTATCATAATTGTATCTTAGAAAACCATGCCATTCGAATCTAAGATTGTGCCCCAAGCTACCAAATCCACCAGTTAAAGCTCTGCGTTTGAGAAGGAGAGCTGACTGATCTGCCCCTCTGCCTCTCCATACAGTATAGAGACTATTTGGAAGCATCCTGGAAGCAGGTGCTATTTCAGAGTGGCCACAATTCATTGCAGCTGCTTCCCAAATAGTGCCCACTTCTGGGACAGTGCCACACTGCCTCCATGTAGGAAGGCTATGTGGCAAAGAGGCTATTTCCCAAATGATATCTATAGAAAACGTAAATGACTGAGCTGTGATGGAGATTGGGGAGGAGGATGTGAGACCCAGCAGGGTGAGAAGCAGTCTCAAGCCTGCAGGGACCTGACAGCGAGGGATGTGGAAGGAAGATAGGCAGGGGAACTGCTGCAACATACCTACAATTGATCATAAGAGTAGGTGAATTTAGGAGCACCTGAATTTTGTTCATGTGACCATAGGGGTGCTTCAGTGACCGTAAATTCAGGCAGGGTTCCTAAGTCTCTTTATTCAGCACCATCGTAATTTTGAATGGTCACTGAGTGAAGGGACTATTTATAAGGCATGATATCACACGCAGAATTGATTATCAGATTATGCAATAGATACAATGATACACCTGACTGTAATTTCTCCTTCAAATGAGTCAATGATCCTAGAGGTTTATATCCTTTTGCTATACACAAATACATAGCTTTGGATAATTTTCTTCAATAAATTAATGAACAAGTATAATGTTTTTGACTCATTTGATTAACTATTTTTAGCTGGGAGTGGCAGTAAAAAAGAGATAATTGTGGGTTCTTTCATCCTGATTCCTTTATTAAAAATTCATCAATTGTTGATTAATTTGTGTAAAATATCTACAGGAAGTAGAAGTAACATTCTTCTTAAAATCTATTGAACTAAGTGTTGAAACAAAATTCATTTTCACAACATTTATTATTTCTCATATACTCAAGAGGTATTTTAAATTATTGTTACCACTGATATTATTAATATCATTTACAGTATCTACATCTAACAAAAATATTTTTCTTGGAATTATTATCCCAAATATTTAAGAGATCCCAAACAAACAAAATGTAGTGTTTATATATTTTCATAGAAATCTGTTATAGAGTAACACAAATATAATCTTGGAAGAAAGTATGCAACAACTATGTTTCTTTTTTACTTATATATTAAATTTATATGATTCCCGCCAACTCACACATAGGTGACTCCAGGCAGAGTCCAATGCTAAGTTAAACATTAACTTAGCATTGGAAAACAGGAACGCATGATAGCTTCACCTTCAGTCTCTGAGGGAAGAAAGGGGAAATGCTGACAGGTTTTCAATATTGTTAGTATAGCTTATATTAATAAATTAAGTACATTTTAACAAAATATTTCTTATGATGTCTATATCCTGATCCAGTTTTCCTTAGAGGGCAGAGATTATTGTGCAATTGGTGATTAGTTTTATTCCAATTTATTGTATGTCCAGAAAATATACTTGGGTAGAGAAGCTTAAAAGTTGTTGATTAGACCAAAGTGTTATCAGCATGTAATTACAACTTGTATTTAATTTCAGCTAAACCTTAAATACCTATAGATTGTCTATTGAAACAGGGCAAAGATTCTAAGGCAATGGAAGATATGTTTTAACATTCTTGATGGATTTTATAATAAGGCCATCCAGCATTTTTAATAACAAATGTCCAATGGAATAAGATAATTTTAACTGTATTCTGAAAGCTCAGTAGGGGGAGTAGCAATCTAGTAAGGTGGGAAGGGGGAAGCTGTGTATAACAGCTGAACCACAATTATAGGTGGGAGTCAAGAACCGTAAGGCTTTTAAAATTATCAACAGCACTTTGAATTGCATTCAGAAACCAATTGGCAACCAATATTCAGTATGCCTAGATGGCATGCAGCAGAACAATAGATCAGGCTTAAACTGCAGGGACCTTGGCCCATAATAAGTATTTTAACAGCAAAAAGCATAGGAAAATAATTGGAGGTAAGCCCACCCATAGCTTTACTTTGCTTTAGTCAATTGGCCTTAGCAACTCTTTTTTCAGTAGAACTTAATCCCAATATTGCAATTTAGCAAAGAGAGAAAATTATTTTGAGTGGATGCAATGTATATAGAATTGATTTCCTTTATCCACTACTTTTCAGGCCTCAAATAAGAGGGGGAGGGGCGCGAATTTGGAATCGAGTAAAAATGATGCCAGGATTTGAGAGTTGCTTGTTTCATTCTATTCTTCTAAAATCTTTGTATTTCAGGGATGGTGACAACATTAAGCCATAGTACAATTATAATAGAGATAAGCAGCCTCAAAGTCTTAATTCATATTTTGAATACCTATTGAACACATTTTCCTTCATTCACCCACACAATTCACTCATGGGAATGCAGGATCGTTGGCTAAGCCCCAAGTTGGGGCAAATTCTTTCCCAGCTGTTGGGTTAGTTGTTATTATGGGATTCTACAAATTGATCATCTGTGCATCCACTTGCTGCTGGTGTTTCAAGAATGCTACTGCCAGATGCTCAGCAAATAGTGGAGTTCCTTGGGAAACGGCAGCCATTCCTGAAATTTCTCTCTT